ATTCTTTATTTATTATTATAAAAATAACTAAAATATAAAATTAAGGATCTCTTCAGGTTAGATTAGTAAAATAAATCATAATAATAATATAGTAAAAATGTTTCACCAGGCATGCCCAAAAGCAGCTCTGAGTAGCTCATGGGTAAGGTAATTCGATAGTGTATCCTGAACTTCAAGTTCCCTAAGTGATTTAAAACTTATGATGGCATGAATAGTAGTAGTTAGTGGTTCAAAGGGCAATCAAAGAAATAAAATTTAAGTATAAATAGATGTATACTGATACGAGTTTAAAGCTACTTAGGATAAACGAATGTAGTTTCATGTTACAATTTGAAACCATTCTAGAATGAAAAAAATGGTAATTTAGATTTATTTCAATTTTTTTTGGTGGTTATGAGGTCGGTCAAATTGACTGACCTCGTATATAATTAGGGTAGAGAAAATAAAATATAAAGTTCTACTAAAAACAAACATTTGAAATGTATTTAGGAGGTTTTAGAGATTACACAACTGATATTTGAGATTTTGGGGGACAAAGAATAGTTTTTTATTCATAACGTGAAAATCACTTTGCACTCGGACTAGTGACGAAACAGACTCGATCTATTGGTGTATTGGTTTGACTGGTGTTACGTGGCGTAAAAAAGGTTTGAAACTGATGATCTAGACTTTAAAAGAATTCTCAATAAATTATTTATCTTGTATAAATTAATTTTATAGAATAAGGATTGTATTAAGGTTCTGGTGTAGCTGGAGGCTGTTTGGGCTTAGTTGGGTGTATCGTATGTCTGTACAAAACCAAGCATTAATTGGCCCAAATGCTTTTTCTGTATGTAGGGATTTTGGAATTTTAGTGGCTAAAATGCCAGGACCTTGGTCATGATTCTAAGTATTTATTTATTTACTAGTTTACCTTAATCAAAAGTTATAAACTCTCACTGTGGGCAATACAATTCCATTTCAGCCATGGGGGCGTTATAATGTGACGGTCAATCCCACTATTCATTGGTAAAAGAGTCGGCGGTGGGTGGTAGTGACTAGCTGCCTTCCCTCTAGTCTTTCACTGCTAAATTAGGGATGGCTAGTGCAGACAGCCCTCATGTAGCTTTGCGCGAAATTCAGAACAAACAAACAAACCTAATACAATACATGGGGCTTACAGAACCAGTCTAAATTGGTTTTAGTCACAAAATGGTTATGAGGTTGGTCCCTGGGACCGAAGGTATAAGCATAACTTGCATAGAGACGGGATATGTCCCCCTCTCTTTTGAAACCGAGGTTTTGCTCCCGGTTTTAGATATGCAGGTTTTTTACAGTTATGATGAGTGTTGCTTTATGTATTTTATTTTCAGTTTTTATTGTTTTTTTATCAATCTAACAGAGTCAAGGCGAGGGACAGATTGCTTCCAAGCACGAATCAGCTTTTGCAGTAGCAGGAGTTATTGTAGGGCTGTGGTGCGACTATCCAGATTTGGGTGATTTGATTATGGCTCATTTCTACACCAGATGTCCTTACCTGGTTCCCTATTATGTTCCTCAACAAGAGGGCCAATCTGAGGAGGATTATTACAGGTTGGTGGATGTTAAAAGTGCATAGGGTAGAGAAGTTGATAAACAACAGAAACCTGTAAATTACCACATACAGTTACAGCCACAACATACTCGTCTAAAAACGGAAGTAGTCAAAATTTAGGTTTAAAAAAATTGTAACTAATTATTAATTAAAATTTAAGTAGTTTTATTGGCTACTAATCAAATCGGTGCTTGCCATGACTTTATGATAAATATTATACTAAAATAAATAAGTGGTTCTTCAGACTTTCAAGTACTAAACAAGTCGGAGAAAACGGATAGCAGCTTTTAAAATAAAAATAAATGTTTTGTAGCAGAAACCCTAAAAATATCCCATATGTGACAGTACAAGAATTATATCAAAGGCATTATTAGTTTCTTGTATTCAATAGTATACAGAGTATTTAAGAAGTAATAAAGTTAGTTTTATGCTAAAAGTTATTATATGTTTATAGAGTTGAAGGAGACATCTGAAGTGTACTGGAGTTTGTAACTTACAGACCACACATTTAGAATCCAGTTTAGCCGTCAAACTCTGATTATGTGTATCTTGTCGTGATTACATAACTGCCTTAACGAAAGTTCTCCGTTATCTTCCTGTGAATCATTTCGGTGTTATTATTGACTCTCAGGCTTTCTTTTGGTGTTATTACTGTATATATATATATATATATATCACCATTGACTCTGAGGCTTTCTTCTGGTGTTATTACTGTATATATATATATATCACCATTGACTCTGAGGCTTTCTTTTGGTGTTATTACTGTTTACAGAAGTGAATTGAGACTAATTTATTTGTCTTATATTTACTTTAAATGTTTACAGAAGTGGATTGAAACCAATTTATTTGTCTTATATTTACTTTGAATGTTTACAGAAGTGAATTGAAACCAATTTATTTGTCTTATATTCACTTTAAATGTTTACAGAAGTGAATTGAGACCAATTTATTTGTCTTATATTCACTTTAAATGTTTACAGAAGTGAATTGAGACCAATTTATTTGTCTTATATTTCACTTTAAATGTTTACAGAAGTGAATTGAGACCAATTTATTTGTCTTATATTTACTTTAAATGTTTACAGAAGTGAATTGAGACCAACTTATTTGTCTTATATTTACTTTAAATGTTTACAGAAGTGAATTGAGACCAACTTGTTTGTATGTCTATATTACCCATATTGTTAAGGCTTATTTAGTGATCCTGGAAGGCTTGTTCCTCACCCTGGTTTCTGTCAGAAATATTCCAAGATAAGCATTTAGTCAAAGTGATGTGTGGTTAAGAAATAAACCTCTTGTTTTTGTGTTGAAAACCAAAGAGTATTAAACTTAAACCGTTTCAGTGAAATGTTTGGTTGTTTTTTCTCCGTAGTCACGTTATTGTTTGACATTTTAAGCCTTTACATAAAGAGCTAGTGATGCTAACAGTTATAATTTATGACGCGTAGCATAAGTAATTTCAAATCTTCGTACACACTGGATTTATATATCAATAATTATGTCTTTATAATTGTCTATTTTTTACATTTCCTGTTAGCCCTTTCTCGGAATAACATTTGTTATTTGTTCAGTCTCCACTGTACTTGTTTGTACTGATGTGGCTTTCTTTGTATTTGTAGGGCATTGGGATATACATATACCGATGGGGTCGTGGAAAACCAAGACAAGTTCCTGAAACGAATGAGTGGCTTCATGAGATTGTACGCAGCCATTCTCCAAACATCACCACCACCAAGGTGCAAAAAGTCTAATCCTCATGGAATTAATCATGGCTGGCAGTGGCTGGCCCAAGTTCTTAATCTCGAACCAAGGCCAGATATTACTGCCACACTTTTGCTGGATTTTCTAGAGTTTGCTGGACATGCCATGTTTAAAGCATATGGTCAACAGTTTCAAAAGCTGCTCCACATTCTGTGTACAGGTTATTTTCCAAAAATCAAAAAAGTAACACCAACGGGATCAAGTGGTCCGGTATCTAGGTTAGAAGCTTTCCTTCAGAATGCTATTAAATCTCGGATTATCCAACCTCCAGATGGAGTGCTCAAGACAAATTTTTGGTTTACCTCGTGATATTTTTGGTTCTGAACCCAGTGAATTTGAACTACACATCACGATGTCGAAAATGATATTTATATAGTAATTTTTCTGTGTTTAAGGAAAGTTTCCCACTTAACAAAAAAAATAATAAAGTCTCAGTAATGTTCGTTGTTGAAACATCTGATACATACATTTATATACGTTTTCACATTAGTATTACTTAATTATAACAGGTTTATCCCTAGCAGACTCTACAAATAACCTGACCTTTTTTTTAAATCAATTTTTACTTCTGTTCAGTAATAAAAAGTATTCCATACCATCATTCAATTTCCAGTAATTTTTACCTAACTTTGTGTATTTCGAAGTGAAAATGGTAAACCTGTATCCACTAACTGAAAACGTAAAATAAATCAAATAATTTTCTGCTTGCTGATTTTATCTTAACTTGGAAATTAAACTTATTTTCAAGCGATACTTTTCCTGCTATGTTAATATAGCCTCTTACAGTATCAGAACAATCATTATTATGACAAAGTTCTAATGAAGCAGCTTATGTAATAATTATTGCTGTATACTACTCGTCTATCATGACAACGGCATTTTCATTAGTCCCACATTACTTTCCTAATTGAGAAGAATTTTATTTCTTTCACAAGAGCACAGTACGTGTTTGAAAAATCTTTATTCTTAACATACAACCCTTGATACTAAAATAAATTAAGTTTTTACATGTTCATCTTAATTCTACCTCATAATGAGTGGACAATTTGGAGAAAGTTCTATTTTTAAAATTATACATCGTCAGTGAGTTACAGAGGTGTCTTTTTCCCTCTGTTTTGACTATAGCCCAGTCATTATTAAACTCCAATTTTTGATTTCGAGGGAGTTGTTACTCTAAACAAATGTGAATAGTTTGATTTCCTTCCAGGTGTTTGTATGTGTTAGTACTTAATATAGTTTGTATTATGAAATTGTGGCATATCTAGAATTCATTTAAACTGACATTTGTTAATTTTTATTGTTGTGGTTACATATCTTTATACATACCAGTCACAGATAAAATTACAGGAATGGAAAATATAAAGAATTTGAAAATGAATTAAGTGGTCAACATTTGGATAAAATGTTGACCACTTAATTTTCACAATTTCTTTGTATTTTTCAGATTTTTTTGTGCTATTTTTTTAATCGAACTAAACTGTTTGAAACTTGATTTTAAATGTTTGCTGTGGTTTCTCCCTCTCCATACCTCTGGATGATGTTACCGTGTCATCCTTGTGATTTTATAATGTATTTTGCTTATCTTAAATGACTTGTTTTTCATAGCACGTTAATAAAATTTTAAGACCCTAAAATATAATAAACTTAGACGACTACACATACAGTACTCAAGTAAATGTTCTAATAAATAAAAAGTTTTTATTAAAACTTCCATACAGGTTAATTGCATACAGTGATTTCACATTTACATAAAGACTAATCTAACAAAATAAAAGGAGTAAATATATATATATTGCTGTAATATAAGCGTTACAAATAATTTTTGCAATTGACTTCAGCTTTTTTCTTCTTCCAATCTTTAGTTCTTAAGAAGTATAAAACAAATATAATATTTCAGTCAGTGTCAGACGCATTTGTACCGAAGTTTACTGAACCTTGCAGAGTTCATACAGAACACAAAGTAACTAACAGAAACACAGATTCTCCAAAACTTTAATATATCATTATATCTGTAACTATCCTAAAAAAAAACAAAAACATTGCTATAATTTGTGCTTCAGTTAATTTGTTTAACCTTGTCCAAATTTATCAATAAAACTTGGCAAAAAAAAACAAAAAAACTTGCTGTTACATCTTCACCGGGGCCAATTAACTCTATTAGCATTGATTAATGGCAAGTAAAACAATCGATTAAATCGTCACGGTATTAGTGTTACCAATTATTACCGTTTTGGGTTATTTTAATTTAGTTGAACGTTATCGATAAGCACATTCCACTAATCATCCACCTGTACACTGCACGTACATTTTTGATCAATGTAATTAATAAAATCCACATAAAAATTTAGTCTCATTAGACATTCGAACATGCGTTACAGAAGCTTTTCAATTTCACAGGACAGATGCTTGGCATCATTGAAAAATATATTTCATTATTCTTTGTGTGAATCATTTATAGGCCACAAAGTTTTTAAAACTGTAGAAAGTTAATTAAATTTTACTAAATTGTTATGTCTAGTAAATGCAAAACATAGCTATTGTCACGGCATATAAAAGATAAGAATGTTATCAAGTAACGTGCTTCAACACACGTTCGTGCAGCTAGCAAGACAATAAGCTTAAGCACACCATATTCACGTACATAGGTGATATAATTCTAACATCCATTTGTAACACAGGTAACATTTGATGGTTGTATTTTACCACATTTAATTTTAATAAAAAACCCCGAGAACTCCTAATAAAACTGAACTAGTACATACTTCTGGCTTTATTGTTAAATTTAAATTAATTATATTCACAACACTGCAAAAGTTACACATTATTTAAATAAGGAAGAAAAGTTATCAGTGAACATCTAATAAAAGTAAATCCTCATCTTGACAAGGTATAGACTTCCCCCAAAAGGTACCAAAATGGTATCTTGTAAATGACAAGTGAATTACATTCAAATACATCTGACAACAATGACACATTCTAACAGATATATAATCAAACGTTTTCTTTTTTGGTAATTGCATATATAATATTTGTATGCTCTCAAAATTACAAAAACCTCGTTCTCAAAAATTCGGTGTTCAGTTAATATTTTAGTCACTTTTTACAGGACAAAGAAAACAAAAAAACAATACAATATAGCTTGATTTAATGCACTTTTGAGATGAACCCTATGGTGAAGCACATCTTGGATGACTTAACCCATTACACAAAATGAAAATTATCTTGAAGTATGTATTCAGTGCATATCTACAAATGTTTATTATAAATCTCAAAAATTCCATTAAAAATATTTATCAATATCTTGCTTGGCAATGAAAGCTGTTGGTTATTGTACCCAAATTTGATCTGGACAGACCACGTCTTTGGTGAATTAATAATAACAGTGTGATATTTTCCAACTGCAACACACACAAGGCAGAAGATTAGTAACATAAACAAGATGAAAAAACTACACAGCCATTCTTGTTTTAAACAAATATATATGAAGCCTTTCCTACGCAACAACAACAACGAAAAAAAAAAGTTTAAAATATACAAGTTCAGAAGGACTTGAAAGAACTCTTCAACAACTGACGTTTTCTAAACATTTCTTACTGTGATGTAGTAGTAGTAGTTGGTTGTGTATTTCTATACTGAAAAAGAGAGATTTCTTGATGACGCACTATGTGACACTGCAAGCTTGCTTGGGTTACGTAGGATCTTTTACAGATGGGACACTGATACGGTTTCTGCATTACTGGCTGCTTCAAGTGGAGCTTTACATGGGTTTTCATGTTGCCCTTCTGCGTGAACAGTCGGCCACACTCGGGACAAGGAAATCTACGTTCTCCGGTGTGGATCAACATGTGAGTTTTCATGTTACCATGCTGACTAAAACACTTACCACAGATTTCACAAGGATATGGTTTCTTTCCCGAATGAGAATTTTTATGATACTCTAAACCCATTTTTTGGGCAAATGCCTTCCCACAAATATCGCATATAAATGGTTTTATACCTTCGTGACCTTGTACGTGAGTCTTCAAATTTCCTTTCAGTGTAAAACCCTTGCCACAGTACTCACATCGAAAGGGCTTTTCTCTGTAATGGGTGTGCAAATGATGCATTAGAAGGATCTTTTCCGGAAATGACTGAAAACAAATTTCACAGTGGTAAGGCTTGTCACCACTGTGAACAGCCTGGTGGTTACGGAAGTCCTCCGTAGTTGCGAAACACTTTCCACATAAATCACACACGGTGGGGTTTATTATTCCATGCAGAGCTTGGCAGTGGTTGAGAAGGGCCGTCTTGTGGCTAAACTTCTCATTGCAAACATTACAGCTCAAAATGTCGATGTAATAACAGGGCATGTGAACATGAACCTCTTTCTCAACAAAGGACTTCTTACATAAGTGACAAGGATACAATTTATCAGTACTATCACTACTGTTCTTATCTTGTGCTTCAACTACTGTGGAAGACAACGGTACACCACTTGATGAAGCATTGCTATGACTGCTACTAGAACTGCTTGCCGACATTTTAAAAGTTTCACCTGTCGAATGCTATGTTACTTGCAATGGATATATATAAAATGACACAATACAACTTCTAATAAGTTTTGAACAAATGTTCTATTCTTGCACAACATAAAACACCCAGCAAGGAATGTAAATTCACATAGAATTTATATAGAGCATGATTCACCTTTTCCCCTAATCTGTTACAGCAATTTTACATATAATTTTGTTTTTATAAAGTGTACATTTATAAATCTGAACTAATGTACTGTCACACCAACCTGGATTTACAGTGAACTTTTGTGACCTGGCATAAAATACCTCTTAAGTCTTTTGTATTTAAACGTTTTCAACGTATTTTCCCAGCTGTTGAATAGAATTACAGTCTTAATTGAACAATAAACAGTATGACTCAGCCGCAATAATAACGTTACCTTTCGTTGGTCTACCAATTACCAAATTGATTAAGCAATGGTTAATTATTAATTATACAAACACTTTACACTGGGGCATACCACTGTACTTTACTAGAAGTAAAGTAACTTAAAAAACATTCTCATACGCTAATTAAGAAAAGCTTCAAAAAAGGATTTAAAAACATCAAACCTAGTAAAGTGTACAAATTTATCTAGAAAGTTAACTTCGGCAAAAAACAAATACTAATTCGTTCTCAATTCTTTAAGTAAATAAGAGGTTATTATTCACAAAACTTCACAATCGTTCGGCAAAAAGACGCAAGCGTCAGTTTTTTATGCACTCTGTTAGTTACTGTTGATAGTGTTAGGCCTACAAAGTAGTGTGGTGTAGCTGTACCTTTCACAAGTTCCAGTTTCAAAAACTTTGAGCACCTTCGACAAAGCCTTGTCTACAAAAAAAAGGGCCATACACCGTTGCCAGCACGAATAACTTCCATATCACAGAAAAGTTGGTAACATAATGGCAAAATCTGACACAACCAATATCTCTCAGAAAGTTATTCGATTATAAGTATATATTTTTTAAATTATACCCTCGCATACAATAATGCAACAAAAACACACCGCGTCATTAGTTTACAAATATACCGCTAGAGGTCGGTAAAAACGTAAAACATAATTATAAATTCTCACAATTTTGTTAAACCCGAAAATACCCACTGCATTGGTGGAGATGTATTAACAATAACTTGGCATCACGAGGGTTAAAATTTGGAACAAAATAACAATAGTTTAAAAACAGAACTTGTAAACATTAGTGTAAGCATACCCCTGAAATTTGTAGTTACGCCACTGGTTGTAAATACAAGTGTTTATGTCATGTAAAGTAACATCCTGCATCTATTTCGATCTTACTGTAAACCTTTAACATACCCAAAAAGCATTTACTGAAAATTTGTAATTTAATGATAACAAAATATAGAATTTTTAATACAGTACGGAAATAGATTATCATAAAAGTTTTATTTTTAGGGACAAATCTACACAATGAGATATCTACGCTCTGTTCACCGCGGGGAATCTAACCACAGATTTTAACGTTGTAATTACAACTGACTCAATAAGTGAACTCGGAAAATCCACGTAAATTTGAAACAAAATTGCTTCGGTACCGTATTTTTGTTTGCATAGCAAGAACATTTTGTTTTATATTTATTTTTTCCTTTGTGATTATAATTAAATAAAAAATAAATTTGTGCGTAATATCTTCAAGAAACGTATTGTTTGTTCTTGCTATGACGTGGCAGGTTTACAGACGAAAACAATTCTATTTTGTTTCAGTGAAGTAAAACTCAATTTATAGCGTAGAATATAAGATTTTTATGGCGTGAAATTTCTTCACCAGGTGTTTGACAACCCGGTTTCACAAAACAGATGCTTTTAACGATTTAACAATCTGTGAACTTGACAGTTAGTATTAAGAATATATAAAATATATGTCATTTACTTGTTGCAAGTAAAAAACACAATATAAGTTGACCAAGTC